TCATCATCATCACCATCATCAACCTCAACCTTATCATCATCATCATTAACGTCACCATCACCATCATCATCAACATTTTCCTTCCAGACTCTACACCCCGATCCTGTCTTGCATAGCATCCGACGAGCGATGTGATGTGCACTCGAAGGTCTTAAAGATCAAACACTCTCACATCATCAGCTGGTTCGACCTGGCCTGCCAATATTTCAACGAAGACGACGACGACGACGATGATGGTGGTGGTGGTGGTGATGCTGATGGTGACGACGAGGATGTTGCTGATGATGATGATGACGTAAATGCCGATGATGATGATGTTGGTGGCGATGATGATGATGATGATGACTGCGGATTCGACGATGATTTTGGAGATGATTTCTACGATGACGATGACGATTATGATGAAAATGGAGCTGACGATGATGACGATAATAATAATAATAATAATAATAACGAAGGAAATGTAGTAATCGTTGATAATGATAATAATGGTGCTATAATAAAAGATGACGATGACGACGATGATGGTTTTAAGAATAATAACAACAACAACAACAACAACAACAACAACAACAACAACAACAAAAATAATAATAATAATAATATCAATAAGAAAAAGAATAATTATAATAAAGATGATGATGATGATGATGATGATGAAATGATAAAAACAAGAAGAGAAGCAGGGAGCACTGCGAAAGATTGCGCCGAAATCATTGAAGTTAACCGTAGCGTAAACAAGGAGAATGATGATGGTGATGATCATGATGGTAATGGTGATGATGATGATTATGATGGTGCTGGTGATGGTGCTGATGCTGAAAGCAATAAAGATGACGTCATTAAAAATAACAATAACAACAATAACAGCCGTGATAATACGAATATCAATAGCGATAATTGCATTGACAGAAATTGTACAATCAACAAAGACAGCCATAATAATAATAATAATAATGGTGGTGGTGATAATGATAAAGATAAAAATGATGGTTATGATTATGATGTTTGTGGAAACAAAATTGGCACCAAAATGTCTGCTGCAAGCAACCACGTATCGCATATAATTGGAATTACGTCCAAATGTAATGATGATGATGATGATAACAATAATAACAATAATAATGATGATGATGATGATAATAATAATAATAATAATGGTGACGATGATGACGATGGTAAATCAGTTGACAAAAATATTGGTGACCATTGTAGCGAAAGTTTCGACAGTAAAGATGAAAAATATTTTGAAAATATCAACAACAATGTAGATGACGTCATCAAAGTTGGGGATTGTCGTCAACGCCATCATCTTGACCACCATCATCATCACTATCATTTCGATCATCATCATCATCATCATCATCTTAACCATCACCATCATCA